CTTTGTTTCTTCTTTTCAATTTCTATTCATTCTTTTGTACTGTTTTGTACCTGGAATTTGGGTACAAGTTTTCTGCAGCTGTGTAGAGGTTGTAGAAGTTTCCAGGAACTGGAATTTGGTTCTTGGTGGGAAGGTTGTAAGCAAGAGCTGGAATTTGGTTCTTGTGTGTGGTGCCTGGAATTTGGGCACTGGTTTCTCTGCAGCTGGAATTTGGTTGCAGAGGTTTCCAAGAGCTGGAATTTGGTTCTTGGTGGAGAGTTAGAATAGGTGTAAGAGTGAGTCTGTAAAACATCTATTCTAGTGGAACCCAGCTGGAATTTGGCTGGAGACTGGACGTAGCCCTGGTATTGGGTGAACCAGTATAAAATTACCGGTGAAATCTTTCCTAACCTTTCTCTCTTTAATTTCAGTTGCTGCGCTTATATTGTTTGATTGCTTGGTAATTCAAAAAGATTTTTAGAAACTTAATTTTCGAATTAGATAATCTGAGATTTGCGAAAAACTTTCAAAAAATCAATTCACCCCCCCTCTTAATTTAAAACTACTTTTCTAACACGGTGGGTGACTCAGCATTGTAAATAGTTGCAGGTTTTCTCGCTCAAGCGATGGTTTCTCGCTCGAGCTAAAAAGAACCCGAGAGTCCCCCTTGTTTGAAATCTTCATCGCTCAAGCGGTGACTTTGTCGCTTGAGCGAGTAATGACCGAATCATGAAACGCCAAACGCAGTTAGCCAAATAATATAACTTGGTTCACCACATATTAGAATCACTTGTCGCGCAAGCGTTCATAATGTCGCTTGAGCGAGACAGAACCCCAGAATCCCCCATTTTTCCAGGTGTCCTCGCTCAAGCGATGTGTTTTTCGTTTGAGTCACCTTAGATAGCGGTTGATAACAACCGCTTTTACGTTTTAACCGATTTCTTATGTAGTAGTTTAGATAGCGGTTGGCCAAATAACCGCTATCTAAAGTCATATATGTCAAAGTGATCGACTATAATTGGATAATAATCGATTATCCTTTTCGCTCAAACGAGGGTTTGTTCGCTTGAGCGAGAATTTACCCCAGATTACCCCTTCGTTACTGATTTCCTCGCTCAAGCGAAGGTTTTCTTCGCTTGAGCGAGAGTTCAGTACGAGAAATAATATTATTTTAATACATGAACAGTAAACAGTTGCGCGAAATAATATTATTTTATTACGTGAACAGTAAACCGTGCTAGTTGTATAAATAAAGTTGCAGAGGTGCTATTTTGGTAAATATTTTTGAAAACAGTATTATTTATGAAAAAAAGTTCATAAATAATACTGTTTTCAAAAATATTTTCCAAAATAGCACCTCTGCAACTTTATTTACACAACTAGCACGGTTTACTGTTCACATAATAAAATAATCGATCATTTTATATTATGATCGATCATTTCGCGTAATGAACTCTCGCTCAAGCGAAGAAACCTTCGCTTGAGCGAGTAAATCTGTAACAAAGGGTAATCTCGTGTAAATTCTCGGTCAAGCGAAGAAACCCTTCGCTTGAGCGATAAAATCTGTAACGAAGAGGTAATTCTCGGTCAAGCGAAGGATATTTTCGCTTGAGCGAAAATCATGATCGATTATTATCCAATTATAGTCGATCATATATGACTTTAGATAGCGGTCATCGAAACTACTACATTAGACAGCGGTTATTTGGCCAACCGCTATCTAAACATTCGTCGTTCAAGCGATGACTTTATCGCTTGAGCAAGTATTGACCTAATGCCGAAACGTTAACCGCTGTCTAATGTAGTAGTTTAGATAGCGATTGGCCAAATTACCGCTATCTAAAGTCATGTATGTCAAAGTGAGCGACTATAATTGGATAATAATCGATCATAATTTTCGCTCAAGCGAAAATATCCGTCGCTTGAGCTAGAATTGACCGGAGATTACCCCTTCGTTACAGATTTTATCGCTCAAGCGAAGGGATTCTTCGCTTGAGCGAGAATTTACCCGAGATTACCCCTATGTTACAGATTTCCTCGCTCAAGCGAAGGTTATCTTCGCTTGAGCGAGAGTTCATTGCGCGAAATAATATTATTTTAATACGTAAACAGTAAACAGTTGCGCGAAATAATATTATTTTATTATGTGAACAGTAAACAGTGCTAGTTGTGTAAATAAAGTTGCTATTTTGGAAAATATTTTTGAAAACAGTATTATTTATGAAAAAAAGTCGATTATGACCAATGTGATGTTTCACCTTTCCCAACTTGTTATATTATAATATTTTTACTTTCGTTTGATCTTGTGCTGAAGTAGTCTAAAGTACTATGTTGTTTCACTCCTTTTAACATGTTCAATTAAATTTCACAAAATTAATTTTGATAATATATATAAATGGTTTAAATATATTTTCAATCCTTATAAATATAATTTTTCCTCTTCTTAGTTTATGTAAATATATTTTTTAATTTTACATTTCAACCTTTTTTTGGTCTTTATTATAAACTATGATTATTTTATGTTAAATTTTTATGGTTCAATAATCAATCTGATTTTAAAAATATTGATAAAAAGTGAAAACTTAATTTACCTTAAAAAGTGATTTTAAAATTGACCAAAAGAAAAGGTTAACTTAATTATATTTTTGACCGGATAAATAATGAAATGGTTGAATTTTAATTCTTTGGGTTTCAATTGTATCATTCAATTATCATAAATGCGCGATTTTAATCTCTCGAGTTTTAAATAATAACAATTTTGAGAGTTTCAAATATATCATAATTGTCACATCATTAACCTATTTTAACTGAAGAAAAAAAACTAGTAGTGCTAATACATATTTTTGATGCTCAATTTATTTTCTTTTATTAAAATCAATGTGTAAAGTGTCATTATAAAATGTTTAACCTGTAAGACTCAATTAAAGATTAAAATTATTATATGACTGTAAATCCATTTAACATAATTAAATTAAAAAAAAAACTTAAATCATACCATTATATATATTAAAAGACTGAAAATACGTTTAAAAGTTTTTTAAAATAAAATGTTTTTTTATTAGTAAAGAGAAAGTACTCAGATGCATATTAGATGATGAACTTTTGTGTCTCATGCTGAGTAATTAATATGAGTCCAAGTCAAGAGACAACGACAAGAGAATAAATGTATTCCTTAACGTTGATAAAGTTTTAATTTTTTATTCCCCCATTTTATTTTTTTAATTTGTTTATAATAGACCTGTATTATTTCGCTACAAAAAAATGTATTAAGTGTTAATATAAAATTTAGCATAAATACGTTGCATTATCTTATTAAAAAAAAGTTTTACGAAGTCTGAACTTAAAATAACAAAATGTTTTTTATACTTAATTTTAAAAGATAACAGTTTCTATAAAATAAGGTCTCTCACAATTTTTTTTAAGTAATTTTTTTGCAAAAACATCATGAGGGAGGTTGGAAAATAACTTAAAAATATAATTTTTACAGAAGGAGTTATCATATTAATTTTATTAAATAATTTAACGTGACAATAAATTAAAATTTTTGATAAAAGCAACAAACAAATTATTATTATTATTATTTTAATTTTCATAAAACTTGTATAAATATATTTTATCAGTCAAATAAAATTTAATCGTTTATAATACTTATGATTCCTATAAATTATTATATCCATGATTTATTGTTTTTCGAAATCATATTTAGGAATAACAAAATTTTCTTCTTCCAAGATGAAAGTCCTGAAATATATATTTTCGACAAACTTGAAAAGTTCATTAATGATTTTTTATTTATAACTAACATTATTTAAAACGTCTCAATTATTATAAAAGTAAAAAAAATGAATTAATTCTCATATATGAGTTATTGTCTATTTTAGAATTCTTATTTTAAATGTTTTTATCTTAAAAAAACATATTAATAAATTAAAAAATAGATACTATAAATTATTATTGATATTAAAATAATCTATATCATATTTGAAAATTCTAAAAATCCCGGTTTGACAGTCACGTGATTCTTACGTTTTTGTTTACAAATAATTGAAATAAGAAGTAATGAGATAATGTACCATATTCCTAAGTTATATATGATTTTTTTTTTTCCTTGACAATATTAAGATAATAAGGACATTTCCTTACTGATATGGGTCGTTGACGGTATGATAAGGTGGAAATGAACCATTTTTTGCTAATTATTTCTCTCTTGATTATTCCATTCTATACCAACTTTAAGGTTTTAAATTCACACAGATACATACAAATATAATTAATATGATATTTCTAATTAATTAATATGCATGAAATATTGATTAAGGATAATTTTCAAAAGAATGATTAATGTATCATTAGTTTTATAAGATAACAATTAATTTATAGTAACCTTTAAAAGAAAAACTTTTTTTTTCAGGTAAGAGTTGGGACGAAGTGTGAAAAATAAATTAAAAAGAAAATAAAAGAATTTTAAAAAAGTATAAATATATATTTGAAAAAAGGTAAGAAATTAAGCCAATGTTAAAAAAACACGTTTTATTTTAAGACCATGTCGTGTCTACACATAAGTTTTAAAATAGAAGGAAAATGAATAATTAAAGACAAGGATATAAGAACAAATATGTTCATCATCTACAAATCAGATCACTCTTGTGTACAAATTTGGTAATAATTATTATTACAATTAAGATAAGATTGGTAGAAAAAGAAAAAAAAATGAAACTAAATTGTAATGTATAAATAAAATAGAAGTGTATTTGAATGCATGCATATAGATTATTTATTCCTTGGGCTCACCTACACGTTCAAATCGCGCGAGCCAAATGTCAACGCCCTCTCATATCTGACGCCTCTGTCTCAATCTCTTTGTATATATTCATCCTCTCGGCACCATTTTATCAACAAACACACACCTAACGCTGCCAAGTACGTCAAAGTGTACCTTTATTCTTCCTTCAATATCAAAATCCTGACCCAGAAACTAATCAAGATAACACACACCAAGAGAAAGAAGACACACATACACCATGAAGCTCGTTTGGTCCCCAGAAACCGTTCAATCAGTAAGCACCCTTTTCACCAAGATTCAAGAACCGTATATGTATCAATCTATCGCATATAGTTTTCTTTCCTTCTTTTTGTATTAGTTATCCCTTAAACTATATTCTTTAGCTGAATAAAATGATCTTCTCGTTTTATTGTCTTTTGAAACTTTGGTTTTATCTCACCTGGTAAGATAAGACTTTGTGGTTGTTATTCTTGTTGTTCGTTTGTTTGTTTATTTATTATGTAAATTGCTTCTTAAGTTTATTTTCTTGCGTATGTATGATTATATATGCACATGCACTAAATTAATTGATAAAGTTTATCAAATATATGTCAGTTTTCATGGAAAAATATGTCATGTTTTGTTTAGGACGTGTATATATATGTGGGTTGAATTTGATTTTGTTTTCTTTTGCAGTGTGAGAAATTCAAGGAATCGGGGGTACCCGAGTTGCTATCAGCCATGGCTGCAGGATTTAACACAAAGTTCATAGTGGAATCTTGGTGCTACGGTGGTCCTATAGCCGCAAGCGTAGGCTTAGCAGTTGCAGCTCGCAACACGGGTGCAAGACACGTGTGCATAGTCCCAGATGAACAGTCAAGGGTGCAGTACATAGAGGCCCTGGCAGAGATGGGGGTGTCTCCGCCGCCGGAGGTGGTGGACGGGGAGGCGGAGGTGGCGGTGTCACGGCTGGCGGGGCTGGACTTTCTGGTGGTGGATTGCAAGAGGAGGGAGTTCGCTAGGGTTCTGAGGGTGGCCAAAGTGAGTCCTAAAGGAGCAGTTCTGGCATGCAAGAATGCATGGCAGAGAAATTTCTGTGGCGGATTCAGATGGAGCGTGGTGCTACAAAGGGGTGTACGTACATGTGGTTAGGTCCGTGTTCCTCCCTGTTGGGAAGGGTTTAGATATTGCATACATAGGAGGTAGTAGAAGTGGTGCACCACCACCACAAACAACCGCTTCAAAGGGTCCTAGCCGTTGGATCAAGCACATAGATCAACAATCAGGAGAAGAACACCTCTTCAGAGAGTGATCCATTTTCTTCATAACTTACACAAGAACATAATTAAATAAATTATTTAGACTCCTTAAACATTAACATGTTTGGTTTCATTTGATTTTCAGATGTCTAAACTTGACCCTTCTGTTCAAATGTTTTTCTGAACATGTCATATATCAGAATATATATTAACATGTTTGTTTTCACGTTGTGTGATTTTCATATATCAAAACCTGATTCTTGTATTCAAAAACGTGTTAACATGTTATATATCTTTCTGGTTTACTTTGATGTCTGTTATGTATTGCTAATTGACGATGATGATGATGATCAAATTCGTTACTGGGTTTTTGAGAATATAGAAATCCAAGCTGCCAAATTGCTTTATTGTATATATATATATGCACAGTTTTGTTTTTCGAAATTATTTGTAGTTTCGTAGAAGCTTCATTTTTTTTTTCTTTTATGTTTTGGCAATTGATGCATAAAAATGCCCGGTTTATTAATCTTTGACCAAGTTTCTGTATTTACAAAAAACGGATCATATTTTTCACATTTTTCTCTACTTCTATCTACAACATGGTAATTGAGAACTAATTCTTGATGCAAAATAATATCTATGATTTGGAAGCTACTAGACATATAAATTTTTGTTCAAGTCAATGTCTCAGATCGATTATCCAATTAAAATAATTTCCTTATTATTTATTTTCTTCCTCTTCTTTCTATTGGTTCTATGAAGCTAATGGATTATATATATATATATATATATATATATATATATATATATATATATATATATATATATAATGATATATTTCAATGTCAATTAATAATACAATATATAATGTCAATTTTGTAGAATTTGATTGGTTGTAATGCCCATCATGTTAGAATTGGTTATTCTTGTGATAGTTACGATGGTACGCAAGTCAACACTAAAAGTTTTAATTATTGGAGTCAACTATTGACCAATTTGGACACATATGCTGAAATAGTATTTTTTATCAAATTGTGTAAATTAAAAAAAAACATATATATAAATCGTTTTTAAGACATGAAGTTTTTAAAAAAATGTTATATTTAAAAAAAAAATTGGAATTTACTGATTTTTGTATTTTTCACTGCGAAAGGTAAAAAAAAATAAAAAATTTACATTTTCAAACTTTTCGTTACATAACATTAAATAAAAAATAAATAAAAGTTAGTGGATGATTTCACGAAAAATGTTGATAATCTTATTCTATTTCTTAATTATTAGAATATCTAAGAATTTAGGTTACTAGCCCTTAACTTTGCATAATTATTATTAGATACAATTTTTTTTCTAGATTTAATGTTAATTGTACTATAAAGACGTGAATGATGAGACTTTAATTGTGGTAATGTATCCTAAAAACTTTTCTTCATTTAATTTTAAAAATAACTGGTATAACAGAAATGAATCCAATTTTGTAGAAGATGTGAACTTGTCAGCTTAATAAAAAAAATAAAAATATATAATTTTAATTCATAAATATTAAATTTGAAGGATTGAAAATAATTTTAATTTTTTAATTTATTATTTAGGCATTGAAACTATTTTTTCAATCTAAGAATTAAAATGAAGTTTTTTTTAATTGAAGGAAAAAACAGATTTTACATGTCACAATTTTTTTTCGTGATAAAAAATTATATTTAGTTAGCTCTAATAAAGCATTGCATATGTAACCTTTCATTTTTGTTGATGATAAAAATGTTATTAATAAAAATAAAATGATAAGATAAATTTTCACACTCCTTCCAAAAAAAGTAAAATTCATTCAACACCTTTTTTTATTTGGACACTATATAATTGCATCTGTCTTTTCTTTCTGGTGGCACTGCACCAACAGGGTTGACATATGACCTGATGAAGAACATGACCTCTTGCCTTTGTCCTCAGCTGACACCGACAAAAGAAAAAGAGTGTCAAAGAGACTGAGGATTATAATGAAACATCACTATAATGCCAGTTTAAATACAATTGGACGAACTGTTATTAACAAGTATTGTGTCAGGACCTTTGGCTATGCTATCACCTCCTTCATGGTACTTGATGAAGTCGCTTGAGTGTGTGAACTTTTCTATTGCCAATCATGATTTATGTTATGACTATCGACATAGCAGTAACGAGAACGAGAGAATCTCGTGAGTAATTAGAAAGCAAAGAATACATTAACCTCGATGGTTGTTGTATGCTTCTTCTTTACAATGCAAATGAAATCAAACAAGATGAACCATCAAATTAAAATTCAAAATCGTGATCAATAACCATATTAAACCCTAAACCAAATGAACAGAACCGACTATTTAAACATAGACGAACCAGAGCCGGGAGAGAATGAATGTTTCTTTTACGTGCGCCGACGAGAGCAAGAGGAAGAACAGTTCACTTTTTACCATTACATCCCATTTTTACAATATTACATCTCTGTCCCCTATAATTTTACTAGTCAAATCCTTATTTTTAACTAAATTCTTTTTCACCCCAATTGTGGAACGGATGTTTGTTTTCCTGTTGTCAAAGTATCGTTTTCCTTTGCAAAACAAGTCGAGAAGTTACAGTAGTATATTCGTGCTCTAAGGTTCATCAAAATTTGCTTCCTTGTAGCGGACTTTGGTTCAGGTGTTCATGCCCAAGTTGGGCCATTAGAGTTCTAAATCAAGGTCGCCAGGGTCTAGTTAGAATAATTAATTAGAAAAGGAGCAAAATTTAATATAATAGCAGGTAAATAAAAATTGAGCCAAGGCAAGTTTAAAAGATAACTATTATAAAATCAATATCCTGACATAATTGGCTTTACCGAAAATTTAACCACTTTTGAGTAGATTCCGTAAATCAAGTGAATAATAAAATAATAACATAATAATAATTATTAGAATGATAATAAATAAAATTAGATATTCTATCATTTTTTGTTATTATATATAAATCTTAAAAATATTTAAAAATAATTGAATATTTTAAAAAAATTATTATTATAAATAAGATATTCGATTTGTAGAATATTTTCTTTGATATAATTATCAATTAATATATTGATAATTATTTTATAAATCATGGGCCGATCCAATTACCGAGGTTTACCCTAGTTTTCTCTACCTTCATATTCTCAGGGTTTCCCTTCCATCTCTTCTAGTTGTTCGCTGCAGGCGCAGTAGAAAGAGGAACAGAGGGTGTCGTTCTTCTTCAAACGCAGTCACCATGGGGCGTATGCACAGTCGAGGGTATGTTCTTCACGTTAGAGATTCAGGAAAAGAGAGTTTTTTCTTGTCCCTTTCATCTAACGCTGTTGTTGTGTAATGGTTTGTTGAATGTTTTTGTTTTCAGTAAGGGTATTTCCAGTTCGGCTCTTCCATACAAGAGGACGCCACCTAGCTGGTTGAAGATTTCGTCTCAGGATGTAAGAGATGGACACCCCTTTTACCTTTCTTCATGTTTTGCCGCCAGAGTTTGTGTTAATGTTACCCTTCTTCTTTGATGCTCGAAAACTGTGTCTATTAACTGAAAAAAATGTATTTTCATGTAGTTTTGTAATGTGTGGATTGCTGGTGTTCAGTTTACTTTATTTTACACGCTTATGATTAGATTTAAGGATTATTCTTTCATATTGGCAAATTTGTTGTAATTTTATCTCAAGCATTTGTCATGTGCAAGGTCGTAGGTTGTGTATGTTGTTACAGTTTTGTTGTGATCTGTGTTGTTGCGTAATTTTGGGAAACAATGCTGAAACCTTGTTATTTTGAATTTTTGTAAAACAATGTCGAAACCTTTGTTTTTGCAAAAATTCCGAAACAATGCTTAAAACCTTGTTCTCGTGTATAATTGTGAGATGATGCTGCTGCAATAAAAAGTTATGTGCGATGCATCGATGCCCCGTTGGACCACATTGTAGCTGCAATTGCGGTTGTAACCTGTTTTTTAAAACCGTTGTCATGTGTATTTATGTTTTAACCTGGTACTACTCCACTAATACTCGATACAAATGATTAAGAGTTCTGAGTGGTTTGTAATTTTGATGGTTTGTTGGTATTTTAATCATACAGTGCGTGCAGTTATGGATTATGTTGCTTTCTTTGTGATATTTTGAATTTCACAGGTGGAGGAGAACATCTGCAAGTTTGCCAAGAAAGGTCTCACTCCATCTCAAATTGGTGTTATTCTTCGTGACTCTCATGGAATTGCACAGGTGAAGAGTGTCACTGGTAGCAAGATTCTCCGTATCTTGAAAGGCCATGGTATGGTTTTCCCATTGTTGCTTTTTAAGTTATATTGTGTTGCTTTTAGTATTTTGACAATTGGAATGCTTTTCTCTTTTGCAGGGCTTGCTCCTGAAATTCCTGAAGATTTGTATCACCTGATCAAGAAGGCTGTATCCATTAGGAAGCACTTGGAGAGGAATAGGAAGGACAAGGATTCAAAATTCAGGTTGATTTTGGTTGAGAGTAGGATTCACCGCCTTGCCCGTTACTACAAGAAGACAAAGCAGCTTCCACCTGTGTGGAAATAGTAAGTCTCAACTTCTATCCTCTATAATGGACAAATGTTGACAATTGTTCAACCTCAAATCCTCAATGTTTAACAATGTTTGATTTATGATCTATTTTCAGTTTTTTTATTTTTTATGAGATGCACCCTCATTATATGATATGGTTGTTTTCAGCATGTTTTAATTTTCAATGTCTATAACTTAGATGCCAACCATATTTGTGAAGTGTTAATACATTTTTGGATCACCAATGATTTTGTTTCAAAATTTTATCTTTAGAAATTGTGAATGTATTGATGTCTTCAATCAATTTACACGGATAGCTGGCTCTTAATTTTTGAACCAATTTTCCTTCTAGTTTTAACAATTTATTTGTGCTGCCTTAAACATCTTAATTGATTAAGAGTTTTTTTATTGCAGTTATTTGTAGTAATCATGTTGAACTGTCACCAATTACGGATTTTGATGTTTCAGCTTGTTTTCTTTATTCTTAATATCAGATATACCAACTTATTGTGTTCCCCTCTTGGTTTTCTAATACATGCTTGGTTTATCTTTATTGCAGTGAATCATCAACAGCCAGCACCCTTGTGGCTTAGAGTGAAATGTTCTATGATACGATAGAATTCTTCCAACTATGTACTTTTTGAAAAGCAAATTTATTTCTTTGGTGTCATTTTCGAGATTTCAATTATTGTTAAAACACTTTCAGTGGTAGTTTTGACGATGGATTTTGTTTTTATTATTGATTACTGATATGCTGTTTTTGTTTCTACCTCGTAATAATTTTAATTTAATCTTGCAATCGATTGATGTTAGTTACTAGATAGTTAAAGGAATTACATTCACTATCAATTATCGACATATGCCACCAATTGTAAAAAAATTGACAATTTTTAATAATTCAGATAAATATGATTAAGAATCAAATATAATACAAACATAGTGCAAGAACTGCCTTTCATTGTTAATTTTATTTTAGTGAGAAATAAACTCAATCATTGATTTACGAAGTTTTCTCACTCTTTCATACATAGATTATTTAGTTTATTTAATGTCAAGTATCTTTCCTTAAAAACAACATAAATATATTGTCTTTTGAAAGTTATTAATTAAAGATTAATGACTAAATTTAAACTTGAACTTATCTTATATATTTTAGTAGGTGAAATGTCTTACATATTCTTATAACTTGCTTCTAAACTCTTTTTCATCTTTTCGCTATTATTGTAGTGGAAGGAGTCACAAATTTTATATCTTGTTATTCCATGAGATTTGGTTAGCAAGTAATTTTGTTGTGCTATTCAACTGCTACTTCTGCCAAATGTTTAAGATTTGAATTATAATTGTCATTTTTTTGGCTATCACAAGTTATAATTTATTCTCTTAATGAGAAACGATTACACCTAGATACATAGCTCAATGAGGTTTTGAAAGAACATTTGGTTATTTGTTTAGGGTATAGATTCATTAATATGTTGTAAAATAAAAATTGATTTATAATCGATTTTGTACATGATGTACTTAGCCTGTTGGAGCATAATGAATTATGATAATTATAAACAATTTTGATTTAGAATCTAATAAAACTAATAAAGTAGTCAGACGCGTTATGTGTGATTAAAATCACAATTAAACTATCAATGATAAATAAGGTATTTGAAAAGGTTGATATGTTTTTGAAGTACTACACTGTTGTAAAATTTGTCTCTCTTAATAATTGCTTAGAGATCACCAATAAGTTTATACTTCACAGTCAACTCAACTTTAATCATTATTTGGTTTCCATAGTTTTGCAGCAAATATCAGCATACGAGTCAACCTTCAAGTTGTTCATGCAGGAACCAAGAACCTTCTCTGTGTTAGAGATTCCAAATTGATTAGAAACATTACTCAAACATAATAGATTTTATTAGCTTAGCAATGTTAAGTGTCAAATTGAATTGGGCACAGCAATATGTGCCCATTTTCCACGTTCAATCTATATTCAATATTTCAGTACACTCTTCAACCAATAAATAATCTTAGAATTCCATTCTGCAGAAGTGTTTTGCACGTCTATAGACTTAATCCCATTCACAGGTTTGTTTCTAAAATTTGAAAGAAAATTCTATATTGAAACCATTATTCCATGCCAGTATCATATATTCAAAGATCTGGGACCAAGAGTATTGTCATTGTGTTCAACAAGTTATTGAAATTTGTATATACATGGAATATTCTAGTTGCAGAAGAAACTTCTTCATAAGCACATTAAAAAAAAAAATCAACCAATAATTTGAAAAGTCTTCTGTGCACCGTGTCTTTTAATTTCTGTTGTCCTCATATGTTACTGAAAATTGTAAGGAAATTTCAAAATTGAATCCTTAATTTCCATGGTATTGTTGGGCACTGCTTAGGCTAGTGCCACACACGTATATAATTAGTCCAGGGTGAATAGCATTATAACCAAGTTCCTCATTAGAAATTTAAGTCATTCAAATTTAAATTAAGCATATGGAAAACTCTTACAAGGTGGATCTAGTATTTTTTACCTTCTTTTATGCCATGTTCCTACAAGGTGTTATTGCTAACACTATTGCAGCTTCCAATTGCTCATCAATTAATGAGGAACAAGAGGCTTTGCGTCAGAGTGGATGGGGAAGTGGAAGTATCTCAGATTATTGTAGATGGAATGGTATTGTGTGCAATGAAGCTCAAAGTGTCACAGAGATTTCAACTAAGAAATAGTTTTATATTCCTTTAGAAGCTCATATTCAGCATTTCAATGTGGTTGCATTCCCTAATTTAATCCGTCTAGAGCTTAGTGGGTTGAGACTTAAAGGAAATATTCCATCAGAAATTAGCTCTCTTAGAAAGCTTCTTCATCTTGATCTCTCCTCTAATTGTCTTCAAGGTGAGTTGCCTAGTTCTCTTTCAAGTCTCACTCAACTTGAGACACTTAATATTTCTAACAATTTTCTTACTGGTGTGATCCCTTCTACTTTGGGCCAATTGAAGAATTATTGTCATATATGAATTATTGTCTACTTTAGAATTCTTATTTTAAATGTTTTTATCTTAAAAAAAATATTAATAAATTAAAAAAATAAATACTATAAATTATTATTGATAATAATCTATATCATATTTAAAAATTCTAAAAATCCCGGTTTGACAGTCACGTGATTCTTACGTTTTTGTTTACAAATAATTGAAATAAGAAGTAATGAGATAATGTACCATATTCCTAAGTTATATATGATTTTTTTTTCCTTGACAATATTGAGATGATAAGGACATTTCCTTACTGATATGGGTCGTTGACGGTATGATAAGGTGGAAATGAACCATTTTTTGCTAATTATTTCTCTCTTGATTATTCCATTCTATACCAACTTTAAGGTTTTAAATTCACACAGATACATACAAATATAATTAATATGATATTTCTAATTAATTAATATGCATGAAATATTGATTAAGGATAATTTTCAAAAGAATGATTAATGTATCATTAGTTTTATAAGATAACAATTAATTTATAGTAACCTTTAAAAGAAAAACTTTTTTTTTCAGGTAAGAGTTGGGACGAAGTGTGAAAAATAAATTAAAAAGAAAATAAAAGAATTTTAAAAAAGTATAAATATATATTTGAAAAAAGGTAAGAAATTAAGCCAATGTTAAAAAAACACGTTTTATTTTAAGACCATGTCGTGTCTACACATAAGTTTTAAAATAGAAGGAAAATGAATAATTAAAGACAAGGATATAAGAACAAATATGTTCATCATCTACAAATCAGATCACTCTTGTGTACAAATTTGGTAATAATTATTATTACAATTAAGATAAGATTGGTAGAAAAAGAAAAAAAAATGAAACTAAATTGTAATGTATAAATAAAATAGAAGTGTATTTGAATGCATGCATATAGATTATTTATTCCTTGGGCTCACCTACACGTTCAAATCGCGCGAGCCAAATGTCAACGCCCTCTCATATCTGACGCCTCTGTCTCAATCTCTTTGTATATATTCATCCTCTCGGCACCATTTTATCAACAAACACACACCTAACGCTGCCAAGTACGTCAAAGTGTACCTTTATTCTTCCTTCAATATCAAAATCCTGACCCAGAAACTAATCAAGATAACACACACCAAGAGAAAGAAGACACACATACACCATGAAGCTCGTTTGGTCCCCAGAAACCGTTCAATCAGTAAGCACCCTTTTCACCAAGATTCAAGAACCGTATATGTATCAATCTATCGCATATAGTTTTCTTTCCTTCTCTTTGTATTAGTTATCCCTTAAACTATATTCTTTAGCTGAATAAAATGATCTTCTCGTTTTATTGTCTTTTGAAACTTTGGTTTTATCTCACCTGGTAAGATAAGACTTTGTGGTTGTTATTCTTGTTGTTCGTTTGTTTGTTTATTTATTATGTAAATTGCTTCTTAAGTTTATTTTCTTGCGTATGTATGATTATATATGCACATGCACTAAATTAATTGATAAAGTTTATCAAATATATGTCAGTTTTCATGGAAAAATATGTCATGTTTTGTTTAGGACGTGTATATATATGTGGGTTGAATTTGATTTTGTTTTCTTTTGCAGTGTGAGAAATTCAAGGAATCGGGGGTACCCGAGTTGCTATCAGCCATGGCTGCAGGATTTAACACAAAGTTCATAGTGGAATCTTGGTGCTACGGTGGTCCTATAGCCGCAAGCGTAGGCTTAGCAGTTGCAGCTCGCAACACGGGTGCAAGACACGTGTGCATAGTCCCAGATGAACAGTCAAGGGTGCAGTACATAGAGGCCCTGGCAGAGATGGGGGTGTCTCCGCCGCCGGAGGTGGTGGACGGGGAGGCGGAGGTGGCGGTGTCACGGCTGGCGGGGCTGGACTTTCTGGTGGTGGATTGCAAGAGGAGGGAGTTCGCTAGGGTTCTGAGGGTGGCCAAAGTGAGTCCTAAAGGAGCAGTTCTGGCATGCAAGAATGCATGGCAGAGAAATTTCTGTGGCGGATTCAGATGGAGCGTGGTGCTACAAAGGGGTGTACGTACATGTGGTTAGGTCCGTGTTCCTCCCTGTTGGGAAGGGTTTAGATATTGCATACATAGGAGGTAGTAGAAGTGGTGCACCACCACCACAAACAACCGCTTCAAAGGGTCCTAGCCGTTGGATCAAGCACATAGATCAACAATCAGGAGAAGAACACCTCTTCAGAGAGTGATCCATTTTCTTCATAACTTACACAAGAACATAATTAAATAAATTATTTAGACTCCTTAAACATTAACATGTTTGGTTTCATTTGATTTTCAGATGTCTAAACTTGACCCTTCTGTTCAAATGTTTTTCTGAACATGTCATATATCAGAATATATATTAACATGTTTGTTTTCACGTTGTGTGATTTTCATATATCAAAACCTGATTCTTGTATTCAAAAACGTGTTAACATGTTATATATCTTTCTGGTTTACTTTGATGTCTGTTATGTATTGCTAATTGACGATGATGATGATGATCAAATTCGTTACTGGGTTTTTGAGAATATAGAAATCCAAGCTGCCAAATTGCTTTATTGTATATATATATATATATATATATATATATATATATATATATATATATATATATATATATATATATATATATATATATATATATATATATATATATGCACAGTTTTGTTTTTCGAAATTATTTGTAGTTTCGTAGAAGCTTCATTTTTTTTTCTTTTATGTTTTGGCAATTGATGCATAAAAATGCCCGGTTTATTAATCTTTGACCAAGTTTCTGTATTTACAAAAAACGGATCATATTTTTCACATTTTTCTCTACTTCTATCTACAACATGGTAATTGAGAACTAATTCTTGATGCAAAATAATATCTATGATTTGGAAGCTACTAGACATATAAATTTTTGTTCAAGTCAATGTCTCAGATCGATTATCCAATTAAAATAATTTCCTTATTATTTATTTTCTTCCTCTTCTTTCTATTGGTTCTATGAAGCTAATGGATTATATATATATATATATATATATATATATATATATATATATATATATATATATATATATAATGATATATTTCAATGTCAATTAATAATACAATATATAATGTCAATTTTGTAGAATTTGATTGGTTGTAATGCCCATCATGTTAGAATTGGTTATTCTTGTGATAGTTACGATGGTACGCAAGTCAACACTAAAAGTTTTAATTATTGGAGTCAACTATTGACCAATTTGGACACATATGCTGAAATAGTATTTTTTATCAAATTGTGTAAATTAAAAAAAAAACATATATATAAATCGTTTTTAAGACATGAAGTTTTTAAAAAAATGTTATATTTTAAAAAAAATTTGGAATTTACTGATTTTTGTATTTTTCACTGCGAAAGGTAAAAAAATAAAAAATTTACATTTTCAAACTTTTCGTTACATAACATTAAATAAAAAATAAATAAAAGTTTGTGGATGATTTCACGAAAAATGTTGATAATCTTATTCTATTTCTTAATTATTAGAATATCTAAGAATTTAGGTTACTAGCCCTTAACTTTGCATAATTATTATTAGATACAATTTTTTTTCTAGATTTAATGTTAATTGTACTATAAAGACGTGAATGATGAGACTTTAATTGTGGTAATGTATCCTAAAAACTTTTCTTCATTTAATTTTAAAAATAACTGGTATAACAGAAATGAATCCAATTTTGTAGAAGATGTGAACTTGTCAGCTTAATAAAAAAAATAAAAATATATAATTTTAATTCATAAATATTAAATTTGAAGGATTGAAAATAATATTAATTTTTTAATTTATTATTTAGGCATTGAAACTATTTTTTCAATCTAAGAATTAAAATGAAGTTTTTTTTTAATTGAAGGAAAAAAACAGATTTTACATGTCACTATTTTTTTTCGTGATAAAAAATTATATTTAGTTAGCTCTAATAAAGCATTGCATATGTAACCTTTCATTTTTGTTGATGATAAAAATGTTATTAATAAAAATAAAATGATAAGATAAATTTTCACACTCCTTCCAAAAAAAAGTAAAATTCATTCAACACCTTTTTTATTTGGACATTTTTTATGAGTGACAATAGATATTGTTAATAATGAAACATGAATAAATTATAAAAAAACATGTTATCAACTTGTACTGAAAATATTAAGATAATAAATTATGAGTCTTTTGTTAAAATTAATAAATAAATTGATTCAATTATTATAAAACATTTCTAGAATACTCAAAGATTATTAGTTATTCTTATGATTAATAAGCATGATAGTAGATAATTTTTTTGTGCCACTAGTTTTATTTATATATTCAAAGGTATAGAGATGACAAAACGGTTCAGCTCACTCTGTCTCGCCTTTGGCTACCAAAAATATGGCAAAACTGACTGATCTGCTATATTCATAACATGTTGTAGACCTTAGTAAGTCTCGTCAAAGGGCTGGTGACCTACCATAATTAAAAAAATATATATATATATTTTTTAAATTAAAATTTTTAATAAATTTAATAATAAGATTATCATTTATTTGTTAATAATTCAATATATATATATATATATATATATATATATATATATCATGTTAATAATATAAATCAACACATTATTTTAAAAAATTATAATTTATAATAATAATAAAATTTATATAATAATAAATAATAACAATATATATAAATAAGATCAAAACTTGTAAAATTTATATTTTTTATATTAAAAAATTTAAATACCTATATCTTTTTTTTTTTTATAAAACTTCACATTGTTCTCTCCCTTGAGTATTTCTTATACCTTTAATAAGTCATAAGATAAGAACAACCAGTGCAGAACAACAAGTGCGAGAGCAATCGATGCTTAGGATGAACAAGAAGGAGATGATGAGCAACAATGAGTGAGAGTGTTTAATAATATTTTTACCCGTAGGAGACAAATTTGTGCTTGAGTAGGAGAATGTTTCCTATAATGAGTGAGAGTGAAACATTTTTAATAATATTTTTACAATTTTTAACTTTATATATTGTCTTATGGTTAATTGTACTATAATAAAAAAATTATTTTTTATTAATTAGGTAGGTTGTGAGCTGGCCCGACTGGTTGACGGCTTGGTAGGGCGAGTCAGAGCTGGCTGGCAGGCTGAAAACACCAACTTGTCCTGCTATATTATAATAGGCTGATGGACCAGCCCGTCGGGCCTGACCCATTTTGTCATCCCTATAAGGTATTAGGTGATTATAATTTATGCATATTTTAATTATCACTAATATTAGTGATAATATGATTAACGTCATTATGTCTATATATTAGTGTATCTCCTAAAGGAGAACATTAGTAAGCATACAATGTTTATTTGTGTTTGAATTTATATTTTATGTTTAATTTATAACTAAAAACATTAATGATAGATATGTGTTAATTGAAGTATTTGTTCTTATATCTTTACATTAACTCGCTACTCTATTTTACTCTTTAATAGGCTAAATTTCTCTGATAAGAGTGAACAAAAAAAATCCAATTTCACTTAGGTGTGTTGGATATTGATTTGACTTTTCAAGTTGGGAAACCAACTATTATCACTGATGTTAGCTTGATGTTTATGCGAATGAGCATAACAATTAACATTAAGTCTGCTCTTTCCAAAACTGAGAATGTGAAATAATTTATGAAATTTGTGGAAGAGTGCTTCCAAATCGCTGATAAGTCCCTTCCTAGGACATTAATGAGTACCTTGACCACCATGAAATTTGATGGTTCTCATACTATGCATAAACACGTAATCAAGATGACAAACATCGTAGCAAGACATAAGTATCTTAGAGTGACAGCAGATGAAAATTTTCTTGTACAGTTCATTTTGAACTTGTTACCGTCTGAGTATGATCTATTTCAGATGAACTATAATACCATAAAAGACAAATGGAATATACATGAACTACACAATATATTAGTTTAAGAGGAGACCAGACTCAAGAACTTAGAAAACTACTTTGTTTATTATGTGAGAAATCAAAGAGCAGAAAATAAAAATGTTAAGAAACATGCAAAAGGTAAAAGATCATTAAAGATTGAAGAGTCCTCTACTAAAATCTAGAAGAAAAAAGATAAATGTCATTTCAACGGGAAGTCAAGACATTTTTAGATGGATTGCCTAAAGCATAAAACTTGGTTTAAAAAGAAATGTGAGGATTATGCTTATGTATGTTTTGAATCAAATTTAACTAAAGTTTCTCATAATACTTGGTTGATTGATTCTGAATATATGACTTATGTTTCTAATGTGATATATGAAAGCAATGAGGGGGAGATTGATGGAAATGTCCTTACATTCCCAAGAGATAATTTTGATAATGATTCAAGTCAACACCATTCAAGATGAATTAAGGACAAGCTGAATTTATGACATTGGTGACAATGTGAAATATTTTCCTACATGCCCAAGATATATTTTTGATAAAGGTGATGATTCAAGTAAGCCCAAGATGATTCCTGAAGACTAGATAGAGTCTTAGAATACTAGATATGGAGGTACAAGTTGATGAAGTAATATTATGCATAAGCCTCCAAAGCACAAGTGTGATAAAATTCATAACGTGATATTTTTCACTGTCATAATCAATTATGATGCATCAGAAATGGAAAAATGATTTTATCTATCATAATTGATTATACTGGTAACATAATCAATTATGACAATTCAAATTTGAAAAATATATCTGTTTTTTGAATATATCCTGATTTTTATTCACGAAAATATTAATGTCCAACGACCATTTTCTGATGTTATTTTTCTATTTAATTAAGTTTTGATGAAAAATAAAAAATACACAATTACAGAATTCGAAAATACAATTTACATTCAATCAGTTTTAAGAAAAGAATTCTGAGCAAGACAATAGATATCTTTTACATGTTTTGAGAAAACCCTATTCTCCATTGCCTATTGTGCTCTCATTGTTAATCACACTTGTTCTTGGAGATTGACATTCTACAGGCTTCTATAATTTGTTGTCTCCATTACCCAGGTGTGACTGTTCT